CCGCTCAAAAAGGTTCCCCAGCCCTTCTTATAAAAGGCCAGATCAGACCCTTGGTCCATCTAGCTTAGTGGTATTGACTCTGACTGGCAGCAGCTGCCCAGGCTTTCTGGCTGGAGTCCATCCCAGCCGTGCCTGTGGCTCCAGAGCCCTTGTTCATGCAGCACTGAGCTGCAGCCCTTCATGTTCGCAAAGGGGGAGAGACCTGCCCCCCCCCCCCGCGCTAGCAGTGCCAGAAGCCGGCAAACACATGCAGCCTTGCCGTTCCTTGTGCGCCATCCTAGGCCATAGAAAGGGGAGGGAGGTCGTAAGAGCAGGAAGAAGTTTGCTCAGTTAGCATCCTTGCTGGAAGTCTGCCAGCGCTTCTTGGCAAAGCTCCAGAAATTAAATGCAGCTTCTGATTCTAGGGCTGACTTGCTCCTGTAGCTGTGAAGTTTCAGGCTGTGGATTAGAGCAGAACCTGGACCGGATTGGGGTCCAAAGTACCTCCTGAGTCTCTCGTGGGCTGGAGCGAGGCTTCCTTCCTGTCCTTGTCCTGAACAAAAGAAGGTTGTCCCGTGTGATATGCTGCCTTGTTAACTGTGGTTCCAGACCTTTCTGGTCTTGTGGAAACTGCCTTTGGAGCCTGCGCAGCCACCAGCAAGAGCCTCCATCAGAATCCCGGCATGCTCTGGACCTCTTGGGCGCAGCCAGGCGTTGGCTCCCTGGTCCTGGACCTGCAAAACAGTCTGAAGAAGGAAGTGTTCCGGAGTGTGAATCAGACGCCAGGATCGGCAGCCACGCTGTGCCTCTGTGTTTCTGAGCTGTGAAAGGCAGAGTGTTCGGATCACGTAGAAGAGATGGCGCGCGTTCCGTCCTGCTCATTATTAAGGGCTAATTACCCCCTTCCCCAAGCCAATTCCACGCTTCCTGTTTCTAGCCCACATGAGAATCTCCGCTGCCGGCTTCCACCACACACAGCCCCGACTCTGAGCCCAGCGCCAAGGATGATTCAGTCGCTTTCAGGAGGATAACAAATCCGCATTTCTGAGCTGTCTCCCTGTGCACCAGACTTGCCTAGGCTGCCCCACCGAGAGAGCCAGGAGAACGCTGCACCCACCGAGTGGTTGGATGGCAAGGAACCTGGCTCTAAATTGGCCCAAGTCACCTGCTTTGCCTTGGCTGTGTGGCGAATTGGGCTGTTAGTCAGCCACCTGCCATCTGCGGATGGAGAACGGATCTAAATGCTAAGCATTACTAAGCAGAGGGTGCACTGAGAGCCAGTGTGATCTTGGCTGCCCTCTGGACTGCCTCTTGATGGCAGCCCTGTTGCCATGGCACTTCTCTGCCACCTCCCAGCACCTTCTGCCACTGGGCCAGGCTCATATTTCAGCCCAGGGCTGTTTGCAGACACCTCCGGCCTCTTCCAACCCCCTGCCTTGCCTTGCCTCGCCTCTTGGCAGCAGCCCTGGCAGGATCCCGGGTTTGATGCATGTGCGTTTGCTGAGTCACTTGCTTTCCTAATAATCTGCATCACCATCAAATTTGGACGATATTAACACTTCCCTGCTTTGGCTTTCTCTCCAAATGTCAGCAAACAACTTAAGGCAAACTGGAGCCTCATCACAGTTGGAAGGGGGCTCTGCGTGGGCAAGAGATGGAAAAATACCCACTGCTGGCGGACTCCAGTTGGTTCAAGGAGTAGGGGGAAGGTGCTGGGCAAGAGTGCCCAGTTTCGCTTCCCTTCCTTCCAGCCTCCGTGTTCAAACAGGCAGAGAACTCGCTTTGCCTGTGGGCCGTCAGAGCCTTCCTCCCAACCCCGGCGTCTCCGCACTTGCAGCTGCGCTTTCCTTTCCTCGGCACTGCAGGGTGTGTTCAGCGCTGCCGAGAAAGGCTGGCCTTGCTCTTGACTGCCTTAGCAGGTGGCACCAGCCCCTGATAGTCTTCTGGCTCAGCGGAGGCCTCCGCAGCCTTAGCAGGAACGGTGGAGGGAGTGGGAAGAGAAGAATGAGAGGTGAAACGAGAGTCATCTTCCACTATCTCAAGGGCTGCCTCCTGGAAGATGGAGCAGCCTTGTTTTCTGCTGCTCCAGAGGGGAGGACATGAACCAATGCCCTCAAGTTCCAAGAAGAGATTCCAACTAAACATCAGGAAGAAATTTCTGGTGGTGAGAGTTGGTCAGCGGTGGAATAGACTCCTTTAGAAGGTGATGGGCTCTCTTTCATTGGAGGTTTCCAAACAGGTTGGATGGTCACCTGTCAGTCAGGGATTCTTCACTGTGATTCCTGCATTGCCGTGGGTTTGCCTAGATGTTCCTTGGGTGTCCCTTCCAACTCTGCAAATCCATGACTCTGTGATTACAGCACTTGAGCAACTCTCAAGATGCTTACGCTTTTCCCCAAGGTGTCAGAGATTCCCCAGCCTTCCTTCTTACCCTCCAGCAGGCCTTGCACTCCTCCATGAAGACTCCCTGGCCTCTCCCAGCTCTCTGTCTGGAGGTTTCCAGCTGCCTCTGCCATGGGAGTCTCCAGCCCCCTGCTGGCCTGATGTGGCTGTTCCTGTCCACTCCGGACGGGACTCTTGCATTGGTTCTGGGTCCTCAAGTGCCTCCCAGGCACTGCACAAGCATCTTTGCCCTGTGGGCAAAATAGTTCTGCCAGAGCAGGCTCTGCTCCCAGTCCCAGTCCTGCAGATGCCATTGCTGGAGTGTCCTTGCTAGACAGAGATGGGCAATGTCCTGAGACAAGGCTGCCCTCCCGGGTGAGGGCGAGGGGGGAGTCACAGGTACCATATTCTGGCGCTCTGGAAACATAGGGTTACTACTGCCATCAGCACATGTTAGAGGGGTGCATAGAAGGTCTCAACAGGAGACTTCGCTGTGCCTCAGAATTTTGGGGGCCTGTTTGTCTCATAGCCCCAATATGGGGTGCCTAATTCCTGGACCACTTATGTGTGCAATCAAATTTCTCAGATTCTTGTGAAATGTCTCAACTGCAAAATACCCTGCCGTGTGTGCGTTCAAACAGAGCTTTGTGGTGCTTGCAACTTGCTGGAAACTTGCTGGCTGCGGTGCGGATGGGCCGGTGCCAGCTTTTTAACACCATGCCAATTACAATTCCCAGCATCGGGTAGGCTGTGCCTTTCTATTCTGAAGTGTGAAGGGTTATTTCAGGCTTCCCAGCATGCTCTGGGCTTTGCTCTCGCTCCCTCCGTAGTGTCTCTCACTTTCTTTGCAAATTTAAGCACCCCATAATTAGCGCCGTTTGTATAAACTCAGCTGCGGGTTTGGAGAGGGCCTTAATCGGCTGCGAAGATCGCACAATGTGCCGCTTTGTTGACTCCCCTTCCCTTGTTTGCAAGCACCTTGTGTTTCAGCCGCGTTTCTAGACAGAGGCGGGCTCTGGCTCCTCACGAACACAAGCAGGCAGACAACGGCCTCGCAGCACCAGGCGGGTGTTTCTGTTCTCCTGGGGACGAAGAGCCCCCTGGCCTCTTCCGTGGCTTGTTCTGCCTCCGGGGCCTGAAGATGCCTCTGCCCTGGCTGCTGTCGGAACTTCAGGAAGTCCCGGTTGACAAAGAACCGATCCTGAAAAGCAGTGCCTGGACTGGGAGGGGTGAGGAGCAGCCCAGGGCAATCCAGCCCATGTGAACAGAGTTTAGGGTGATTTGGGGTCTGGGCAGGCGGGAGGGGGAGGCTGTGCCTTCCCTCGACTGCTTTCCATAGCAGTGTCATCTGCCGCAAGAAGACACACAAACACAAGCTTGGGAGAGAAGCCCATGCACCTAAACAGAAAGATTCAATCATCCAGCATTTAGGTAAAACGAGTGAAGCAACCCGAAGGCCAGTCACTCTGTTCTCCATTCTTGGACAGAATAATGGCAAGCTGTCCTTCTTTCTCTGAAAGAGATTCTGCCTCGGGAGAGAGACCTCTCGCTGCATCAGCTCTTATTCGGGTATAAATGGAGACATAAATGGAGACCAATTTCCCCCCAACTGGTCTTTTGTCTGCCTCGCCATAACTTTCTGCAATCTGCAGCTCTGTCACTTTCCCAATATCCCATCTCTCACATCGATTCTGGGCCTCGGGGGATGCTGTGATAGCCTTGGCTGTGGCAAAGAAGACGTGCAGTCAGTGTTTCAGAAATACCTGGGACATGTGAGGCACACTCAGAATGCCCACAGCCCAAGGGGCCACACCCAGACCTTGGGTCCCTGCCCCCTTCCTTGGGTGTTTAGTCAAGAGCAGGATTCTCCCTTCATTCACTGGAAGTCATGCAAATCCCTGTAATTTCCTTCCCTGCGGTTTGCAGTGCTACAAGGCAGAGGACATGAAACAAAGGAGGGAGGGGGCAAGGGGGGGCAAGGGCCTGTGAATATTCTGTCTCCTTCCAATGCTGGGGGGCAGTTTTGGGTGAGTTCGGCCCCAGAGCGGCCGGCTGGTGGGGAAGGGCTTTGCAAACTCAAATGACGTGGGCTTCCTTCCCTCCCCAACGCAGGTGGTTTGAGCAGTTTGTGATGCAGTGGCTGGATGAGAATGAAGACGTGTCCCTGGAATTTTTGCATGGAGCTCTGGAGAGAGATAAGAAGGATGGGGTAAGGTTTTGGAACACAGAAATAAAGTAAATCATCAAACCATCAATTCTAGTATGTGGGGGGGGGCACATAAATTGTATAATTTGGTATTTGAATGATTGGTATTAGGAACTGTATTATAATTTGGCATTGATATAATTAGGCTGTTATTGGATTACTGGACAGCAGTACTGTCGTCCAATGTGTGAATTGTTGTATGCCTTGTGCATTTTGCCGTCCTACCGTGTATAAACTTAATAAATAAAGAAGCCAACAGGTATCCTTCAGGATTCTGGAAGGCTTGGTAGAAAATAGAAAGTGTTTCAGATTAAAATTCACATGGTAAAAGGCTTGCATGAACTCAAAGGCACCAGGTAGAATCACAGAATCGTAGAGTTAGAAGAGACCCCGAGGGTCCTCGAGTCCAACCCCCTGCAATGCAGGAATCTTTTGCCCTGCATTGACACTCGAACCCAGGACCCTGAAATTAAGATTCTCGTGCTGTACCGACTGAGCTATCCTGGTCTTTCTTCACACTGCGTGTTTCTTGTTTGTGTTCAGTTCCAGCAGACATCTGAGCATGCTCTCTTCTCCTGCTCGGTGGTGGATGTCTTCACCCAGCTCAACCAGAGTTTTGAAATCATCAAGAAGCTGGAATGCCCCGACCCGGCCATCCTGGCCTGCTACATGCGGCGCTTTGCCAAGGTGATGCCCCTCCTCCCACGGGATCTCTAGGAGCCTCGTTCTCCAGGGGGAAAGGGGTGCAATTATCAGCACGGTCAACAGCAGCATTTGTTAGTGGCTTTTTGCCAAAACGAAACCTCAGAGAGACTTAACTAGATGAAATTCAGCTGTGACAAACCATTAAATGTTTCTCTTGTGCCGCTCAGAACGAGGCTAGTAACGTTTCTGGTCTCCTTGCAGACCATCGGGAAGGTGCTGATGCAGTACGCAGACATCGTCTCCCGGAGTTTCCAGGCCTACTGCTCTAAGGAGAAAGTGGTGAGTCCTTCTGCCTGGTTGGGGTGGAGAATGCAGAGGACAAACGGGGAGAAGACGTGCCCCTCTCTTCTTAGCCATATCCTCAAGGCCAGGCGCCTTTGGACAGATAGCTGCCCAAGATTTGTTTAGTGTGTGTATGTGTGTGTGTATTGCCAGAAGCCACCCAGAGTGGCTGTGGCAACCCAGTCAGGTGGGTGGCATTTAAATATTAAAATTGTTGTCTGTAGACCGACGGGCGTTCTTGGAATGCACTTATTGCAGCCGGGTTCTCAAGGCAGGAAGTGCCTCGTAACCCTTTTCTGCTGCTTAGGAGTGGAAAGTTGCTCAGCCTTCACTCACAGAAGGGTCACAAAATGAGAGGCGCTTCCCTTCCCGAACGTCGTGCTTGTTCGGTCATTGGTTCCACGGGAGCTAGTGCTCTTTCTGCCTAGACAAAATGTTCCCTCTGACCCTCCCCTCCCTCTCTCCAACTCCCGATAGTGACAGGAGGGCATGAGGTCCTGGGGCGCGGGGGTGGGCATGGCACTCCAGCCATTTCACTTGTTTCTCAGTCCAAGACTCTCTGCCAGTTGGTCTTCCAGCTCCAAACATCAACTGGGCTTCTCGGAAACCGGCGGAGAGAGAGAGAGCTGTTCACTTCCTGCTGGCTGGGCTACTGAATTTGCAGAAGTCGCTTCCCGCCTGAGGAAGAAAGGTCTTCCTCCATCCACCCATCCCTGGCCTTCTCACCTGTATCTGGCCCTGAAGGCTTTGCGCAGACAGAGTCAGTGGCCTTAGCATTTGTCTGTCTCACCAGTAACCTGTCTTTGGTGTTTCTCCTTCTGCTCAGCCCTGCATCCTGATGAACAACATCCAGCAGCTGAGGGTGCAGCTGGAGAAGATGTTTGAAGCCATGGGGGCCAAGGAGGTGAGAGCTCGGAGGAGCCCTTCTGAGCGTGGGGCTCAGCACTGCCTTGTCAGCTAGTCGGGGATTGGATTTTGTGGCTGGGGAAACGGGTAGCTAGCAGGCCTGCCACTTGCAGCATCATGCACCACCCAGAGTCAGAGTGGGGAACTATAATTCCCAGCAGGCCCAGCCTGAAGGCTAATGGTCAGAAGGGGGGGGGAGAGATGGACAGACACGTTGGCTGCTCCTGTCATAGTCAGAGGAGGACAGGAAGATGAGATCACGGCCTTCGTTGAACACGTTTCCTAACTCTTGAGTTTCTAAAGGGTTCATATGGATGTGCAGATTCTCACTTTATAAATGGCCTGAAACATTCACACCCTCGGTTCGCCATGTGGCGGCCAACCTGAGTGAAGCTGGGTTGATGAAAGCTGAGGTGCAAATGTGTAAAGACTTTGCTGAATGAGTCTGGTTTCAGAATGTGCTTCTTCCAAAAGCAAGTTCCAGCTGCTACAATTGGCTTTGGGTCTTCCTTCGCAGCTGAACAGACTGTGCGCGCCCTTTCTCGTTATTCTGGAGGCTTGCTGGGCCTGTGTGGATACAGCTGTGTTGCCTGATGCCTTCCAAGCCTTAGACGCCTGTTGTCCTTAACTGGAGGCAGGATTTCCCCCCTCTATCGCTGATTCAAGCTGTGAGATTTTCTGTAACGCTGTGAGAATGCTTGGCCTAACCTTTGCATGTCTGTCTCTGTCTTTCCCTTGCTTTCCAAGACTGAGAATGTGGAAGAGAAGGAGAAGGAGAAGGACCAGGATCAAAATCAAAATCAGGATGAGAATCAGAATCAGGATGAGAATCAGGAACAGGAACAGGAAAAGGAAAAGGATCAGAATCAGGAACAGAATCAGAATCAGAATCCTGAACTGAGGAATCCTAAGGCTGTTAGAATCCATATTGCTTACTCTTGGCCTTAAGACACTTCCTCCTTAGCTGTGACTTCCTAGATCAGAGCTTTCTAGACTGTGTGTCGCGACACGCTAGTGTGTCGGCTGCAGAATGTAGGTGTGTGGTGCGAATGCTCCCCGCGCTCCTCCCGGGGCTGGAAAGGGGTTAGTTCAACCTCCGGTTTACTTGTAAAACTGAATTCCTGTGTCATGAAATGATGCCTGTCTAAAAAGTGTGTCACCGACATGGAAAGTTTGGAAAGCTCTGCCCTAGATCCTGAATAGATGTAGGCTCTGCACGTGGCAGGGAACTCCATGGTGGCACCGTGGCATAGGGTGGCTTCTCCCTGGCAGCATGTCAAGAAGCAGCTCGGAGCTGTGCAAAATATCCTTAGGAAAAAGCATGGAACGGGAAGTGATGGCAGAGGCTATTGGTTGGTGCGGAGAACAGACCCAGGCTGCCTTGGGCAAAGTGTTGCCATCCATGGGGTCTCTCTTGCTCCCTCTGGCCAACTTTGGTCTCCAGCACTGCTGATAGGAAGAGGCCTTGGCGTCCCTGAAGTGCCTTAAGCAGTTTCCCCCTGGTGCCTCCATCCCGAGTTCTGCTCCGTGCAGATTCTCAATCCCTCTTGCCTTCGTCTGTGTGCCGTGCAGGGACTCTGAATGCTGTTCCTCAGCCTGGCTAGCCAGTGTCGGCCACTGAGATAACATAGCTCTCCTGCTTTCGGATTTAGTCAGCTGAACGAATAGCTAGAAACATTTGCTGCTCGTTTTAGTGCCGAGCTTCACCCTTCCCTCTCCGAAGCCTTTCCCCTTCCCAGCTTATCTAGAGTTTCCCATGAATTACCTGCTGCTTTTTCTCTAGGTCTTCTGCAGCGGGAAGGCTTGCCAAATGAAAGCAAATCCTGCACTTACAGGAACTTGCCTTCCAGGAATAGAGTAGTCATAGTCATTGATGGCCTTATCTAGCCTGTCATGTGTGAGTGTGTTGACCCTTTCGTTGTGAGTCTCCATGCAGTTGAGACTGGGGGAACATGGGAATAGCCCGCTGGATTAGACCAGTGGCCCAATTGGTCCAGCATCCATGGACCTCCATCAGGCATTTCCCAGTTTTTTGCAGGGGGTGGGTGTACAGGAGAATGGGGGTGGGGGGCCTGGGCCGTCTTCCTGCCTGCCTGTCTCTTTCTGAGCTTATCCACATTTTCCTTTCCTCCACACTTTTCAGGCACTGTCTGCATTTTAAAGTTTTATGTCTGAGCACTTCTTTTTCTTGCTCCAGAGCAGCCATAGGCAAACTCAGCCCTCCAGATATTTAGGGACTATGACTCCCATCATCCCTAGCTAACAGGACCAGTGGTCAAGGATGATGGGAATTGTAGTTGCAAAACATCTGGAGGGCCAAGTTTCCCTATGCCTGCTCCAGAGGTTTCCACATGAAAACTCGCTCTTTACTGCTGAATTGGAGCAAACAGCAATGCACGGAACAGCAATGCACCCAGTTGCCGCTTCTTGCGTTTCATCTTTAAAGAGGAGGTTTTCACGAGGAATGCTCCAGGGCGAAAGAAAAAGCAATCCGGGTTTTAAAGTGCAGATTCATGCCTAGAAAATGCCAGGCAAAAGGTAAGTGTGGATCAGTCCTTACTTTCTCTTGTTTTCCTGCCGAATGAACACTGGACTGTGTTAAGCTGTAAGAGCCATCAATAAATAGTATTATTTACAATAAGCACATAGTTTAACCATGGTTTGTTCAACAAGCCACAGCTTGTCTCACAGTTGAGCAGAGAAGTCAGGACTTCTTTCCAGAGCCGCCTTTGTTTCCCAGGTGCCCTTGCCTCCAGACTCTGTTACTTAGCACATGCCCAGCGTGGGATGGACAAACCATAGTCGGTTAAGACACTTGGTTTCAGACATAACATAAAACCATAGTTAAAACATGGTTCGTGAGCCATTTACAAACTACAGCATCACATCTGTGGTTTGTTACCAGAAAGTAAACCACGGTTATTGTGGTGGGCTGGGTTTGGACATTCAGAGAAGCCGCACTTTGGCTAGGCAAGCCATGGTTTAGTGTTAGATGTGTTTCATTCGCACAACTACGTCATCCCACAACCACCACATCCCCAGCAGTGTAAGAGCAGGTGGGGAGTTGAGACCAGCCTAAAGCAGAGCTGATGTTCATCCTCCCTGACTTTAGCCAGCGGGGCTGAAGCTGGCTGAGTTGAGAGATATTTAATTTTATGTTATTAAGTAAAAGAGAGAGAGATGATCTCCCTGGCTGCCCACCTGCATCTTGCTATGGGCTATACCTGTGGAGTAGGAAGAAAGATGCTGGAGCCGGGAGGGAGGGAATCTCGCTCTTTGCTGTGCTTGCCGAGTGCCTGCCTGTTCCTGGGCAGCGTGACTCATGCCAGGGGGCCAGCCGTTACCTCGGCGCTCACACAGTAATGAGACCGGCTCCGTTAATAAGGCACGACACACACCAGCTTCAGCTGGTTGAATCCTGAGAGGCTTTTTTAAGCAGCCAGCTCTGCGTGCTCCATCCTCCTCCTCCCGGGGAAAGGGAGAGTTTGCCTTCTGCCGCAGGGTCACAGCCCAGTTTCCTATGCCAACTGGGACGAGGAGGAGGGGGGAGGTGTGGGGCTCCCACCTGACTCAGTCCTGAGATGCACTCTCGTTCTTAGGGCAGGTGAGAAGTC